CGGTTCAGGTTTCTGAAAGGTAATCTCATGGTTGTGCCGGGCATCCCGGGTGCTTTCCTGCCAAGTCATGGCAGGGAGGACAAGGGAAAGGCAGAGGAATCACCAGCTTCATTAAACAGCTCCATTATTTTCACAGTTAGAGCTGCCGTTGTTTTCAAAAGAAATAGAGGGAGTGTTTCTTTTGGGAGTGTGTAAAACTTCTGTTCCTGTTGGTAGTAAGTGCAGGTAATTGAACCTTAGGTTCATTAAATTATTTTAAAGTGACATCAAATGGAAGTAGGTGCAGAAAAACAAGGATACATGAAAAATCAGTGAATCGTGAGGTCAGCAACTTGAGAGTTTAGAATATAGGTGTTACTGATGAAGATGAGAAATTCTGCTGTAGTAATCTGTCTATAATGGCACTAAATACTCAGTACTGTAGATTGGGGGATGATAGGGCCCACCTCCCACCAGAACTTTATAAACCTCATCACAATCTTTCTTCATCTTTTTGCCTTAATACTAACAAACTCTAGAAGAACTTCTTCACTGTAGGAGTCGTTAGGCATTGGAACGGGCTCCCCAGGGAGGTGGCCGGTTGTTGCTAGACCCTTCTAATACTTCTTTTTTCCTACCCTACCTCCTAAGCAGCAGAGTTTCCTTTAAGATATCTTAGGGAAATGAATGAAGGAAACGGTTGTTATTGTACCCTGGGAATCTAACGTGCTTTTCAATTGAAGGTGCCACCCTGTGCGTCATATGTCAAGACAGAAGCTCGTTACGGCAGACAATAGTCCGCTTGGAGTTGGAGGATGAGTGGCAGTTCCGACTTCGGGATGAGTTTCAAACTGCTAACAGTAGTGATGACAAACCACTCTATTTTCTTACTGGACGCCATATATAAGCCTCGCTAAGACACTACTAACAAAGAAAAAAAGAACTTTTTTTTTTTAAAAAAAAGTACAATCACTGTGGAGCAAAGTGCAACCAATATTTGTCTAGACTGCTCTAAAGGATTCCCCACAATTCTGAAGTAGGCTTTATTCCTAGGGATAAAATTACCACCTCAGTTATGAGTTAAAGGATCCTGGATTCCAGTTATTTTCACATCAGTCCCAACCGCCGACGCTGATCACGCAGCCAGCCGAGCTGTAGGATCTAGGAAGAGGACACAATTTGAAGAAGAATCCTTTTCACATTCAGCTGAGCTAGGGGAAGAAGCTGCTCTCAGCAGCTGCTAGCTTGAATGCGTTACATGAAACGCAACCCAGCATGTGGAATTTATTGAAGATGTGTGGAGGAGAGCCTGCCGTGTTCTCTTCAGCTCTGTACTCTGGTACAGGAATACTCAGGGGTTTGAAGCTACAGTATAACGTAGATATTTGTATTAAAAGGAATAGTCTTGTTCTCTGTGCAGTGTTAGTTTAAAATTTGTAATTGTGTATGTATTGAAACTGTCTTTGGCAAAATTTCCACAGGTGTTCAAAGTTTACTTCTTAAACCTGAACAAATCGGCAAACGCATGGCAGGCACTGTGCACCCAGGTTCTCCCAGCAAGGTTATTTCACCCCGTTAGGCACCCCCTCCTCGGCTCCAGGGACAAAGGAAAAGGCTTCGCGCAGACGCTCTCTCCTCAGGTAGAGGCCACAATAACGTGCCAGCAAACCGCCTGCAGTTCCTCACGCTTGTCAGAGTTTTGAAAAACCCGTGGTCCGTCCTCCATCGCGTATGGGAACGAGTCCGAACTGTGCAGCCATCTGCAGCCCGCTCTCCACCTCCTTGTCACTCAACTCCAGTTGGCTGCGGAGCTGAGATTGGGTCCATCAAGTCCTACCCCTACAGGAAGCGACGCGGCAAAAACTGCACAGGAGGGCAACGCTGCCCGAGCTGGAGCTGAGAGAAGGAGAAGGTATTTTACAGCAGCTCCGGGGGGAGAAGTCCCAGCTCCCTGGCACTGTGCAGGAGAGACTCTGGCCATAGGCAAAGCTCTTTGAATGCGTCGCCTAACACTGTCAGCCCTCTGGTTTGTGATTAACCTCTGTAAATATTGGTTGTAGCAGTAGTCGCGCATTGTTCTACTTACAAGCATAAAACTGATCCTTGTTAAGTTGTTCCGGAATGAACTCGGTGCAGTAGCAGTTGGTTGTCAGGGTTAAATCGTAGCGGTACTCTGCTCTGCTCACGCAGTTAGCGTGGGTTACCCCAGTGAGGTGTCCAAGCCTCCTGCACAGTGGGACCCCCTTTATGAAAAGAAAAATGCAGCATGTTCTTAATGTTCAGGAATATCCTCCATTTACTCCCAAAAAAGCAATGAAATTAATTAACACATCTTTATACCTGACCTGCAAGACATTGGAGGACCTGCCAAAGCTGCATTTTTTTAATATTTTTTTTTTTTACGCATAGTGTTAATTGAGCAACTTTTTTTATCTTGTGAAGAGAGATGTTTACAGATGAAGAAACATAATATATTCAACAGAGGCTAAAGGAAAATGTAGCTTAACTCTGATGCTGTAAATTTAGCAAATTTCAAATGAACAACCCATTTCTGTAAATTTGTTTTTTATTTTCCTTCAGACACAACCTGCCTTATCTATTTTAACATGTGGAAGAAGTAGGGATAGAAAAGATGCGTCTCGAAGCTTTTGATACACACCTGAATGTATTCCAGTAGTTCTGGTTTTGCCAGAAGGGCGTAAGGCCGACCCTGAGTCTTAGCGTGGTGTAGAAGTTTCAGGTATTACATGTTCAAAACCGGACATTTCCTTTTTGTTTGTGTATTTGATGTTTGCACTAAGTTGTTAAAATTCCAGGTGCTGAGACTACGCTGAGGAGTTAGCCCTCTGGTGAAGCAGTGCGAAATTGTCCTGAAGGTTGAGCGTGCGGTCAGGAAGTCAGCGTATTTGCCTGCCTTTACCCAACACCAGTAAACCCATTCCCTTACCTCTCTCCCGTGCAGAAGCCGGGGCTGCGGGTAATGCTCTGCCCAGAGCGCACTGAACCAGCTCCAAGGGTGCAGGCCCACCCCGCGGCGCCCTTGACGTGGCTGCCGGCGGATTCCTGGGAAGGAGACTGTTACCTGACATCTCGGTTATTGCTGTTGCGTTTTGGTTTTAAGCCTCACCATCAAGGCCGTTCTTATGAATGTATTCAACCGGCCGGCATTGTATTTTACCTGTAGATGTTCTTGTCTATTCACAGGTTAAATCTGAATGTAAACTAAGATTTAAAGAATCATATGCAGATGCTTTTTGCTTAACTTATGTAATTGCTTTTTGTGACTTTTGGAAGAGGGTTAAAAACATTGCTTTCCTAGTGTAAAGTTTTCTTAACCAAAAACTTGGTGAATTTAGCTTCACTAGTCAGTCTACCTCACGTTATTGTTTATGAACTGAAACCGTCTGAAGTTGTGGCTATGGTATGTTTATAACGTGCTTTCATTAAATTTGAATCTATGAAGTTACCCTTTAAGGCTGCCTCTCTCGTATCGGGTACTTTGCAGCGGACACACCCTTTCTTTCTCTCACCACACCCCGCACTGCTGACGTGAAGCCCACGCCTTGACCTGATGGAGCGAAGGGGTGCGCTGCCAGGACCAGAGGGCTTTCACCCTGGGTACCTGTGATGGGGGAGAGGAGCAGTGCTTCAGGCGGACAAGAGGGAGGAGGCAAACGCGCTGTAAATAACAACTTTTAGTCCCTTTTATAAGCAGTTGAAAAACGTGCTTGGTCTGGCCCCACTTCAGCCCTGCTCAGAGCAGGAGCTAAGAGCAGCAGCAGTACCACGGCCCTTCTTGCCTTCTGAGCCCAGCAGCGAGGATCGCCTTGAGGTCTTCCAGAAACCCACACCACTTTTCTGACAAAGCCCCTCACCCTCTGCTCACACTCCCCTTGGAAATGACAAGTCACAGCTTGGAAACAGCCCAGACCTCGCTGCGGGTCAGCTACTGCAGTGTGACCTACCGGCAGTAACGCTTCAGCGGTGATGCCAGTTCTCCCCTTCAGCTCTAGACCCAGGTTAGGGACAGCACAATATAAACAAGCCTACCCTAACTGCACCTAACTTCCAAAATTAAAACAATCTGTAAGTTTAAATTTAAATTAAATCTTTCCCATCTTATATTAGGGTTTTAAGCTCTTATTCAAGGCTGAAGGCACCTCTCACCACACTGCAGACCCTGTATCAGAACAGCATTGATCTGGAGCTGCTGGGGAGCTGGATCCTTGGGGCGCGATGCAAACGCACAGAGACCAAGGGGGTTGTGCCCCCACGCAGGTACGACGGCAGCAACTGTGTTCTCCCGAGGCTGCTTCAGAACACACGCTGCCCTTACTAATACTTCAACGCAGCAGTCTGAAATACACTAAAGATTCATTCACGCTTAGTATCCATACAGAGTAACTTTAAAAAAAGCTATCAAGTATTTTATTTTTAATCTATCTACATTATGTACAGATCAAGAAAGGCCACAGCAGTTTTTCAACATACAAACCCTTTAAAAGAGGAGAGATTTATGAAGGAGTGACAAGTATCAAAGTGAAGTCCACTAACAAAGGTATATACTCAGTACAGTACTTGAAGAAAAAGGATGAGTACACCAGTCCTTGGGGTTTTCATTCCACCTTTGACGCTACAGCTGCTCGGGGGGAGAAGGGGACGGGGGGCAGATGCATTTCCAGCGCCGCTGACACCTGGGAGGCTCCCTTACACCTCACAGGCACAGAACGCACCCCAGAAGCCACGGTGCAGCCTGCGCGGGCTGTTACACCCACCGCGACCGCACCCGAACGCTTCTTGCCTCGACACAACTGAGCACAGCCTTGAGCTCTGTCAAGCAAGGAACCGCTAACGGCCCCGCCCCGCTGCGGGAACCCTGCCTTGCCGTAGCCGGCAGCACCGGTATATCACCACATTAAGAACTTCAGCACATACTCATCAGTCAGACCAGAGTCTTTGCAATAGCTTACAGTCCACTATGAACAATTTTCTGCTGCATGTAAACATGACTAACTAGATAAAATACAATCAAACTTTTGTAAAAGTTAATAAAATATCTTTCTTTTAAAAAAACCAAAAGTTAGCCTATTACTGCATTGTTTACAATTTTAATAAAATAGTACAACCTTTCGGTTGTTACCAGTCCTGAGTTCACTGTAATAAAAATGGCCCTGGCTTCTGCTGAAGGTCTGCACCTGCTCCGTGCGTTCTGGCAGAAGTCTCCCAATAAAATTGGAATTCCTTCGGGAGCAGTTAAGTCTGGTGCTGTCCATTGAGGAAGTTGTACACCAGGAACTGGCCGGTGCCACAGTACTGCGTTGCAAAGAGTTTTCCATCAGGTGTGGGGTCAGAGAAAGCAATTTCTTCTTTACTTAAGTATGAGCCATAAATGAAGTTGCTCCTGTTTAAAAAGGGAAAGAAAAAAATATTACACTCAAGGAATGATGCACGAATAGTTCTGCTATTAGGCCACAAACCATTAATTACGTAGCACAGACACCCAAAAGGAAGAAGCTCTGTCAGGAGGAGATGGCTCTATTTATGTGATCGGTCTCCTCCTTCCAAATGGCAGGGAGGGTTTTTGTAAGGTTTTGGTATTTTAGAAGAAACGTTCATACAGAGAAATTGCCTGTGCGTTGCACCAAGAGTTCAATTTCAAAGTTAAAAAAAAAAGTTTGAATTCATTCCAACTATTTCTTCATAGAAAAGAGACTGCGAGGACTATGACTACAGTCACTAGGAAGGAAAACATAAGCTACAAACAAGTTGGGGCTGAAAGGACTTGATGAAATTTCAAGTTCCTAGTTTGGAAAAAAAAAAATAAATCTGACATTTGGGTGAGAGCACATCTTGGATTACTTTAGAACATCTAAGAACACAGCCTCAAGGCATAATTCATAAAAGTGATACACTTTCAGTAATAACTATATGAACAGGAAGATTCAATCTGTTTAACTTCTTCATGAAAATATTTTATGTATATTTTATTCTTATTTGAAGAAAGAAGAGTGAGTCAAGGGATACCACTGTACTTTTCTGGAGGGCTCTGTGAGCAAATTCAGAAAATTGATCTCGGGCTTTAAGACCTTGATCAGGGGAAGGAGGAGGTAACGTTTATCCTTGGGAACAGAAGAATCTCCCACTAAAGTTAAGTTTTTTAACTCCCATAAAATAAACTTAAATGTACTTTAAGAGCAAGTATGAACTTTGACCATATGGACAGCTCCATTAAATCTTGAGGAAAAGACAACAGGAACAAAATCCTTTTTAATCATTACCAGCTTTATTCTCTCCTCTTTAGTTTATTTCGGAAGATGATTTTGCAAGGTTCTTAAGACTCCGACTGGGGTTTTGTGACTCCAGGTCAGCTGTGAAAGCTCCAGTGAAACAAGACAGACATTCTCCAAATGGACTTCAAAGTCTGCTAGGATGCCTTCACCATTTTGAGGTCAGGATTTAGCTGACTACGAGAATCCTCCCGTTCAAGCTACCTTTTGCTATGGAAGACATTCGGGTTGAAGTTTCACTGGCAGCTGAGCAGATCTAACCGCTTACTGCCATCAAAAAGCAACTCTCACTCCTGTCCTTTGCCTTCTGCAACTTTCTGGGCTCCCTTGCTTAGGCCAAGTCTAGAGTTCACCAGACCTGTCTGCAAACCAACTGAGCACCAGGATAACACAAAGCTCTTTCTGGTGAACCTGTTTTCTAACAACGAGCTAATGGAAAGCCAAAGAAACACCAGAGCACAGTGAAAGGTAAGATGCCATGCGCAGTTAAGAGGAAAACCAAGACCTCTTCTCACTAGCTGCAACGAACCATTGAAATTCACAGAATCACAGAATCAGTTTGGTTGGAAGAGACCTCTGGGATCATCGAGTCCAACCTTTGCCCTAACACCCCCATGTCAACTAGACCATGGCACTAAGTGCTACCTCCAGGCTTTTCTTAAACACCTCCAGGGATGGGGACTCATGCCCATAAAATAACGTTCAACTAAAGACCAAACAATGGAATTTGGCACTGAATGAATGCCATATATACTACCACAAAAAAAGACAAACTTCAGCGTTATAAAATGAGATACAGATCGAGTATTAATCATGCCCATTCCAATGCCCAACAACCCTTTTTGTGAAGAAATGCCTCCTCATTTCCAGCCTGAACTTCCTCTGGCGCAATTTCAGACTTTGCCCTCTTATCATGTCACTGGTTGCCTGGGAGAAGAGACCAAGCCCCACCTCGCTACACCCTCCTTTCAGTTGAGTTGTAGAGAGCGATCAGGCTTCCCCTTTAGATCCTTGAGAGCTGTAACTGAGGGAGCAACTCCAGTATTGCTTTGGGGAAGAAATCTTTCCTTTAAAAATAGTTTCTAGGAAGCTACTGAATACACAATTAAAAAAATCAGCCAAAAATATAACCAAATCAAGTTAATATGCTTATCTGAATACAGCTTTACAGTCAATAGTTCAGAGAGAACATGATCCGATAAGAACTTCCTAGTTGCTCCACCTGTCAGGCAAGACGCATTCTGCAGAGCAGAATAGCTTTGCTACGTTCTCCAGATACCCAAGAGGGCGAGGACCGGCAGCCACAAATTCCAACGAGATGAGGCTAGCCAGGCACCTAGCACAAACCTGACAGCCCAGCAGTACTAAGATCTGGGTAGTTCTTGGCATTACCCAGAACAGGTGTTTAAACCTCTAGGAAATGTCACTAGAAGAAACTTCTTAAGGTTTGGAGATTCAATATTTTTAATATTTATTAAACAGTAGCGTGGATGTTTGAGTCCTTTTATGGATCTAGCACTTAGCATTCAGCTGAATACACTCAGCACTAGCTACTAAAGCTCCATGGAAATTGAAAATATCTCATGAGGCTCAGTGAACCTGAGTAAAGCAAAAAAAAAAAAACCACACAAAACCAGTTGGAAGCCACCAGACTATATCAAATAGTTCGGTGCACTCATCTCTCTTCTCTCCCCCTTTTCTACCTTTACGGAACGGACACTCGGCCAATGGTTAGGTCCCAGTCCTTAACACTTGGGTAACCTCCCACTTTGACCAAAGGCACTGTCATTTCCTTCACTCATAGTTACCTCAGAGGAATTTACCCAAGTTCATTGGCAGTCAGCTAGGGTGACTCACTGTAATTGCACTTAGCAGAAAGATTTCTGTTAAAGACAAGCTATTGCAGAATACTGACGTTAGTTATTGAACTCCACATAATACCAGAACTGTCAACTGTGCTCAAGTCTACATCCCCAATATCGCCAGCAGCTTAAAAATACGAGGTTGAGACACACAAAGCAATAGACAGAACTCAGTTCAAGGCATTTAAAACACATGTGACCAAGGAACTTTTTATATTACCTAAGACACTCTATCATCCGAGAAGCAATCTTCTTTCGACGCATCATGCTGAATACCCATATTCGACTAATCCCACAAATAGCAGGTTCTGGAGAAGTTGAACAGCACCATGCTTTCTGTCTTTCAAATATGACTTTCTCGTTTTCTGAACTGACTTCTGGAACCTTCTCTTCTATAACTCTGTAGCCCTGCAGGTGATGGAAAAAATATTTGTCACTTTACAAAAGCATCACTAATGACTGAACAAAATAATTCTTGTCTAATCTATTTCATTTAAACATACTTAATTGCTAAAATGCCTTACCAAAAAGTCTGCATATCAGTGTCTCATTTAATTTCTCTTCACAGTTTCAAAATTGGAACAGATGATAAAAGATTAAACAAAAAAAACCCTCTAAAGCTTATCTGATTTAAAATAACGGCAACAAATAATCCAATTCTTATTACCACCTATATTAAAGTGTTTGCATCAATTTCTCTGACTTTGACTAAAATTGTTTTGCTTCTTGTCTGCTGCTCCCAAGGGATGGTAGAAGCCACCACAGTTTACACGGGAACAGACAGAATATGTGACAAAGTTCTGCCCTCTGCTTCTGTTCGCTGAGGAGCTGTCTGACCCCACGGTGATTCAACTCAATCCTACCGAGTATCCACTTTTTCACCCATGTTGGGTTTCTAATGGGCAGGGAGCTGAATCTGCTTGTCAACAAGTAAGAGGAGATCCAGAGCTGGCATAAGAGTAGCAGAGGGAGAAAAATTCCACCCTTTGGCTGTAGTGAGTTCTTAGATGAGCAGGCCGGAGCCAAGTATGACACCATACACGTGTCTCAGCTCAGTGTCTATACAAATAACCATACAAAAATAAGTAACTACATTTCAGAACGGTCTACCACCAAAAGTCTCTTCCTCTGTGGAAAAGGCATACAGAGAATACTTATTTGCTAAATGGCTAGACTTAAACTCCAAGGTAATTCTATAGTTTCAGAATGTCTGAAGAACAGAGTCACTAAGCACTGACACAGATTGCCTTTCTCCAGTTCAGTCACTTACCCACTGGATATGTTCTGCAATTAAACAGCCGATAACTTTTTTGTCGTTGGAAATAAAAAGGAGGGTTTTAGTTCTAGAGTAACACATGAGCGGAGCTTGCTGAAATCCCAAGTCATTGTCTACCATTTCTCTAATTTCTTCAACCTGTCAAAATAAGTTTAAATGCTGTATAAGAAACACATGTAAATATACATTTGTGTAAATTTACATAAAAATGACAGATTTGCAAAAATGCACTAAGGTATCTAGACCACTGAAAGCTATGCCAGAAGTTAAGGATTATCCTAGAGTAACCTGCAACACATTGATCCACATAAATGTTCCTTAAATAACATGCAGCTGAAAACAGGCAGACTTCATTTGCTACAACCTTCCTTTCCTCTGCCCCACTTAGGTATTTTAAGTAATTTTTTCTTCAGCCATTTTAGTAAAAAAATGAATGTGCAATGAATGTACTAAAATTAAGATAATACCACCAGAGAAACGTGACTGAATAAACTTATCTGCATCAGATATTGTAGAAAGAAAATCTGTAGTTTCTTTTCAATTCAATAACTTAAAAAATTCTAAAGAAAACCCACTACAGTCACACCATCAGAAAGAGCTGTCTTGGGCATCAGTTCAGCCTCCAACCTCAACCACTCTGTGATCCTGTGACAGTGGTACTGTAAAAAAAGCATCTGTTAGTCACAGCAAATCCCCAGCTAAACTGAATCACTGCCATGCTACTGAAAAAACAAATGTAATGACATATGAAGATGTATGAACACAGGTTAACCAGCAAGACACTGAAGTACCCTGCTGCTCTAAGTCTCCACTAGTGCACTATGCCCAGTTTTAGATAGAGTTTCAAAAGAGAGATGAGACATAGTACAAATGGAAATAATCTAGAGGAGAGTATGACAATGATCAGAGCTCTGCAAATGTTATTTAGGAGTATAAACTCAAAAACCAGCACATCCCATCAATCTCCTTAAGGTGAAACGATCAGAGTTTGTTCAGGCACAAAAAAGCTCTTGCAAGGGGGAAAAGAAGGATGTTTTCTACAGCTATGGCAGTATGATTTGCACTAATGAGTTTAAATTGCAGTGCAGAGATTCTGTTGGATGTTTAGGGAAAATTTCCTGTTACGGATAGCAAAGCACTGTAGCAGAGTCTGAAGAGGTCAGAAAAACCTCCAGTGGTAGAAGTTTTAGAAAGCTGTCAGATGCATCATAACCAGAGCTGATCCTGCTTTGGACACGGGAATGGACAAGATGACTTTGAGGCCACTTTCCACCTAAATCTGTTTTTATCCCAAAACCATTTAGAGAATGGTGTCATACTCGTGCTGTGTAATAGAGTCAGTATGTTTCAGTTTGTTTAAATGTAATAGGAAGTTTATATTACATAAAATATCTGGCAGACGTTCAGCAATTATATTAGAAAAAGAAATTTAAAAAGTCAGTTGGTTGATGCTGTTCTCACCCCTGCCTTCCCCTCCTGCTCAGACCCATCCTCTCTATGGAGAGTGCAGCAGTGCGTAAGAGTGAGAGGTCTGACCTGTTCGTGGAAAAAGTTACAGAACCACCACAGTTTTGAGTCGAACTTCAACTGCTCACACATACATTACACAAAACTTTACTATAGACATTCTCATTACTCGTATGAAAACATCAAACAAGGTAAGATATACAAGTCCAGTCCTTTTCACCATACCTTTTTAAGTGCATACTTTGGGTCATCAGGAAGAACCATTATTATTTTTCCATCAGGATATTCAGCCAAAATTCTCTCCTTTTTCCAACCCTAAATAAAACAAACACTTATGTAAACCATACACAAGATGTACATTTACAAACAGAAAATGCATATTATTGTTCTAGACACTGAATTTATGCAGAGACTTCACAATATTTAGCAGTTGCTTTGCTAGAGAAGGCAACTTCAGCTAGCTTTTTAAAATGAGCAGAACAGATACAATATGATCTTATTTATATAAAAAAAAAACTTATACCCTAGCCTAACTATATCTAGAAACAATTTGTGAAAGTGCCTTATAATTTCCCAACTAGATTTTTTTCTCCCCCAAGGACTGCAGTGCAAACTGAATTTTAAAATAGAAGTAGCAAACTCGGCTCACATAACTGATTTCCAAACCTATGTAATACTTATTTTCCAGTGAATGGGAAAAACCCTAAGTTTTATTAAAAGATTTCTTTTTAACATAGTTACCTCCACAAATACACACTCAGTTTTAAAGTTTGGCATGCGAAAGACCTCCAGGAGGTTCTAAGTGAACTGATTGGCATGCAGTTGCCCAAAATGTAAGGAATAGTTTATTTTGTTACTGATCATAACTGTTAAAGCCACAAGAAGGATACTAGAAAAAAATTTATAACTACCTTCTAAGAATCTAATGGGGAAGGAGGCTACGTTGTGTGTATCTGAAGTATAAACATACTCAAAAAAATAGAGGTAATTAACTCTTCTTCAGATCCACACTCGTGGTGAATAATGAGCAGTACCTGCATGGAAAAAAACAAAACAAAAAAGCCACTTAAATCTAGTAAGATGGGACTGGCAGATATTAGAACTCAAGTTGCTTTGATGGGACCTAAAAATACTGAAAGCAGAAGTAACTTCAGCCACTAAAAAGGCTGATCTACAAGTCTTACTCAAAGCAACTTTAAATAAAAAAGCCTTTGAAGAAACAATATTGATGGAATAATTCTCATTGAAATCTGTACCTTCCCATAAAATAACGTTCAACTAAAGACCAAACAATGGAATTTGGCACTGAATGAATGCCATATATACTACCACAAAAAAAGACAAACTTCAGCGTTATAAAATGAGATACAGATCGAGTATTAATCATGCCGATTTTACTCCCTTACCCCAAACAAGACATGAAGAGAATAATTTTGGAAATATATCTACTTGCTGGTAGCCCTGCAACTATTTAAGTATGAGGTCAGCACCAGCATGGCAATGGTTGCAACACAGACACCATTTTAATCCTGCCTGCTTTTCTTCTCCGTAGTCGTTGCACTAAATACCAACACAAATGAAGATCCTATTTGAATTTATATACATTATGGTCTGAACACAAAGGGCAGTAAACAGCAGTGTCACAATACTCAGGTAAGCAGAAAAGTGTCATTTGTGGGACTGTGACATGCTTTTTGAGACTGTTAGAAAAGGTGTCAAAAGATTTAGGCAAGGATTACTACTCTTCAACCTCACATACCATCCTCTCTCAATTTTTTGTCTTTTGCTGCCTTCTGGCTAACTGTTTCCCCTGCAAAAGCTTTCTATAGCCTATTTTAAACCAACTGTGACCACCACCCAGCAGATAAATGCTATGTGTTTGATATAATCCTACCATTACAACATCCAGAATGTTGCAGGCCTAATGCACAACATTAAATTTTACATTGCAGACCTAATGCAAAAAATTCAACCCTGCATTTTAGGTTAAGGTATCTTGTTAACATTATAGCAAGGTACTTCCAAGAAAATGAAATCCAATGGAAGAAAACATTTCTGATCATCATAGTGCTATTGTACTTTTAAGCAACAGTATATTAGCAGAAGTCTAACAATAATTCTGTAAAAATGCAATAATTGACTCTCTGATGCTTAGAACTCATTATTTTCTTTATTGTCCACCTGTTCATTTTCTTAACTGATTACCATAATATGAGGATTAATTATATTCACAGGAGGGGTAGTTTCTAAATTGAAGTATTTTGGAATTTATTCAGAAACATATTTTGGACTTTATTCAGAAACGTATCTTTTATACGAAGCTTTCCAAAAAGTTTCTGCAAACCCTAAACTCATCCAAGATTTTTAGTGAAGACATTTTAAAGTCATATTCCTTTGTTATTGATGCAGCTCTAAGAAATTCAAAAAGAAAAGCTATCATTTCACACAAGTATCTGCATCTTTAGCATCCTTATTGTTCACTCTTAGTAAGCAATGAGCTGTGCTTCCTTTAAACCAGAGAAAGGGAAGTAATGCACAAGATTGGTCACAGCTCTGTCAGTCTAACATTAAAGCTGTGCTATAGCTTCAGCTGGGACTGATCCTATTTGATATCTACAATACATAAAATGCATTTTTAGTACCAGTATCTTGCATGTGGTCTAAAGATGGTTTTCCTTAACAGACCTATTAATTTTTTTTTTTTAAAGCAAAACCCCGCTATTTTAACACTATTAAAACAAAAGACAACACTCTGCAAGGTATTTCAATCACTGAGAACTAAAGTAGGACTCTTTCACTCAGGCAGATGGCAAGAACACCTTACTATAGTAAGAAACAAAAGCATTATGTCTGCAATGTACTTTGTAATATTCTACTGCAATGTCAGAAAAATTGCTTTTGCTTTCCTTTTAACTTTTTTACTTAGGGCATTAAGACTTATTTACTGTTGAATCAGATGCCCAAGCATTGATATACATTGCTCGTGATGACCAAGGAAGTTGAAAGCTATTGTTCCCACCAGGATACACGTTCTGCAAGGCCGGGACTAAAAGAACACGATTATGCCACTCCTCCCTCACGTTGGAAGCCTATGCTCAACAACAGATTACCTATAGCCGGCTGTAGCAGGCACATATAGCCTAATCACCACAGCTGGGCAGACTGGCACTGTACAGAGCCTCGCTGGTGTGTAGTAACTGTTGCAACACCCTCCTCCCCTCCACGTTACGGCTATTCATCCTACAAGTATTTGTAATTGTTCGAGAACACAAGGCAACTCTGCAATGCACACTTAACTCATTTTTAATCTACCTCTAACTTTTTCTTCCAATTCAAACGAAAGTAAAGATTGCTTCTGCTTGTTTATTAAGGTGCAAGGGCATCAAATTTACAACAGAAAGAAAGAATTCAAAAAAGGGCAATACAGACAAGCGGTTGCTACCGCATCATTAAACAACATGGACAGTAATTACCACTACACTGTGTAGTGCATTGCTCTCACTGGATATTACATATGTATATAACGAATGATGTAGGACACAGTGGTTAAAGATGGCTCCAACATTAACAGCACAGTAACTGAAATGTTCAGCGCTCAGTTTCACATGAACTACGTTCTGCGCAGTTTAAAATAATCTCTGATGTAGATTTGTCTTTAAAAGCATAAGTCAGAAGACACAACAGACTGCTTCCCATGCATTTCCTCATATTTTAAAAGTTCTTACGTAAGAGTAGGAAATGGGACAGCAAACCTGGTATCTTTCTATATATGTCAGTCCTGGCTTGTCTGCACTCTCTCTTTCTCAAATGCATACAAACAGATGAAATTCAGTAGTGGGTTTTTTTTCTTACACTTTTTTCCTCATAATATTGAGGTAGTGAGGAAAATGCAGTTAATACTGTATAATTCTTGGTCTTCACTAAGAAAAGCATTTATGAAATTTTCCCCTAATAATCAAGTTTAGTATGAAATTTTGTGCACTTTTATCCTTGAGAAATTGTAGCAGAGAAATGGGTCTACTGCATTCTTCTTCCTGACTCCTTCATCAAATTACAGATATTCTGCCTCTCTCTCCTATGAGTATAATACGGAGAACAAAGTTTGACTGTAGAACACATTAAGATCCTTGGATGTAACTACTAAATACTACCCTCCGTTAAAACTAACATTCTCACAGAAGATAGCTAACGGTAAGAACTTTATTTGAAATAATGTGAAGTTTTACATTGTATAGATGTATCACTTTTGGAATTAATGCAAATCAAGATGAGCATGAAATCTTTCTAAGATTACATGAAGTTCATCATCACCTTCAATCCCAATATTCTATTAACCTTAGGTCCCAAGAAGTCAGATGTTGCTTTTTTGGGGGGACGGGGGGGTAAATCTGATAATCATAAGAACCTCCAGATGGGCTTGGGTGAAGTCACAGCAGAATAGCTAATGTCTAGTCTAATAAGATATTAGCTGAAATAACAGCTTCTTCCACTTTCCTCAGCTCAAGATATTCTTAAGTAAAAGGATGAGCTTGACATACAAACACATTAACTGCATTCACATCAGGCAGCTGAATCCACAGGCATTTCCTAAGTTAAGTTTTTGGCTTTGCAACTTAAAAACATCATTAAAAGTTGTGTCTTGCTCTGAAAAAATTTTGCAGAAATACTAAGTTGATACTATGTGGCATCACAGAGAGGATACACAATTGATTTTGTGTGGTATCACAGCTAGAGGATTTTATAAAACTGAGCCACGTATCGATCCCACAAAGTTATCCATCCCACTGGAGTTAACACTTGATGTATATGTCATCACTCAATGTATGCAGATGCCAGAAAGGCGTATTTTTTCTGGAGACTTTCAGATGTCTGAAACCAGAAGGACAGCGAGACAGATTCCTACATTTGTCTGCAGTAAGGGACATCCCTCACATTAATTCA